ATACATTTTTGTAGGTCTTAGGCAATGTGCTAAATCTTCCTGAATCTCAGCTCCTCAGATGTAATAATAAATGACAAAGTGATGTTGTTATATTTAAATGCACAGGCATATAGTAAACATTCAAAATTATTAGCTGCTATATTATTGTTACTATTATATATTTAAGTGGAATAAATTGGCATTGTGAGAACACAATATCATCTTTCATATGTAGAAGGTATGCCATAAGAGAGAAGTGATTTCTTTGTCACTAGATAACTGTAAAGCAGACTTAATAGTGATGCTATAATAGTCTTGCTACTCAAAGTCTGATCCATGAACCATGGCATCAACATCACCTGGATGCAGAATCTCAGATGCCAACCTAAATATAATGATATGAATCTGCATATTAAAGAAACCACAGGTGATACCTTTACCCTTGCTATAAAGGATTCAGATGTTACTGGTTAATAAGAGTATAATAAGAGTCATGCACTGTAGTACATGACTTTAAAGCCCCTTTGAGCCTAGAAACATCTTGCTATTAATAAAGTCCATAGGTTTGATATGGACAAAATAATGTCATGGGCAAGAGCCTTAATATCTAGCATATCCTATTCCATAGGGTAAGCTAAAAATGACCCTTTCCACTCAACTCTGAAGAACATTATACCAGGTCCAGTGACTACATTCTATTTATGATTTAAGTAACTATCTCAGAAACGTGCAAATGTTTACATTCTGAGCACTGGGATTCTTTTTAATCCAAAATCCTCATTACCTTAGGTCATATCTACCTTTACCATAGAAGCTTATTTTCTAAGATTTTTTTCATTTTTTTGAGCTACTTCTTTGCTTTTTTAGAAATGTCTGTCTGATTATTTTTCATGTTCTCTAGATGCAGTTCATATTCCAATAATGTTGAACAATTAATGTACAAATAGTTTAACCTTGGATACTTCCCTCAAGACCTGAAGAGACTGACACGTACGAACAGAATCGGAAGAGCTAGTGAAGTATTTAGCTGAAACTTTTAAGAAATGTATCTCTCTCTGGGACTTGCTAGGGTTGGTTGTAATGCAGCTAAATGCTTGAGCTCTCTGTACACTTTTATCATCCCTCCTTGATGTGGGCTTTCTGACATCCCCGACTGTTTGAATTATAAACAGGATGGAATACACTGGCCCATTGTATTGCATCAATCACATCTTAGATCCCTTTTCTGATTCTCTTATTCTGCTATAGCTGACTAGCCCATTTTTATTTCCATTAGAATGACATACAGAGAAATTAAAAAGAATATCTTACTTGAAAAAATTAAGGTAACAATTAACAGAAAAAGAAAATTTTTTTTCTGGTACCAGGAATCAAACTCACGACCTCGCGCTTGTCAGGCAGGCGCTGTGCCGCTGAGCTAAATCCCCAGCCCCCTAACAGAAAATTTTTAATGTTAAGGAGGCAAAAGAAACACGAAGTATGACTAAAGTATGAAATCTGTAATAAACTGAGCCTAAGAGAGTCTCATGTTGGGCTGGGGACATAGCTCAGTGGCTTAAGGGCCTGCCTGGAAAACACAACGTTGTAAGTTCAACCCCTGGTACCAAAAAAAAAAGAATCTCATGTTAACACTGTAAATGAAGAGTTCATGTAAAGGGACTCTTGAAAGAGATTATTTGCAAATATAAATCCAACAGTTTAATTAAAGATCATATAGTTCTTTTCCCTCAAAAAGAAGGCTCATTTAGAAGGCTAGAATAGTGCATCATACTGTTAGCACATTTTTTTCTGAGTGGGATGATAGACATCTTACCTCCCTCTGGGTTCAAGGAATAGCTATGAATAGTTATAAATTAATCAAAACCAGAAGGATTTCATTGAATAACTATATTCTGAAAGCCATTGGGAATACAATGATGAGTTAAAATAGATATGATTCTTGTTGATACAATTTCCAGTTCAGTAAAGAAATTGAGAGTCTAGGTAATAATCAAACAATAACACAGTTAAAGCAGCATCTGTAGGTACCTATAAGGACTTAAGCAGAATGTGGCCTAGACCATAAGCTAGTGGGCTGAGAATAGAAGAATATATGTTAAATGGATGAAGAAAAATGGAAGAACAGCGACGAAATGAATTAACTTGACAAACAGGTATAAAGCAGCTGCCAAGCTCCAAAAACCTAGATAGGTAACTGAAATAAATGAATGAAACTTGGTCTACAGGTTAGGGAAAATCTTGCTACTTGCTAGGTGCGAGACTTTGGTCATTACCTGACCCTCAGTATCTCAACCTGTAAAATAAGAAAACAATGTCTCTGTTGCAGAATTATGTTTGAAGACTGTAGCTCACTGCCTGGCACTTAAGTAGTAAATTTTGTAATGACCAGACTCAGGAAGTTAGAATGGCACATGTGAGAAGCAGTGTTCCTGAGAAGTCAAAAGCTGAGTGTCTTTGGTCAGGTTGTCTGGGACTGAACTCCAGCTGCAACACTTACTAGATCTGTGACCTTGGGCAAATGACAAACTTTGTAATGTTCAGTTTCTTCAATTGTAAAAGAAGGATAACAGAAACACTGAGTTTATAGATTTCTTGTGAAGACCAAAGGTGATAATGCACAGAAAGTGTGAAAGGTTGCTTACATAAAACCTAGATTACATATTTTGCATATATATGGTGTTGAATCTGTACAGATAAATAAGCAGTTAATTATTTCGGTTGTTATCACTTTGAGTATGAAGGTAAAACTAGATAAGACCTCAGACTTCACAGAAAATATTGATCTAGGCCTTTAAGAATGAATAAGTGTTAGACAGACAAAACTGCTGATAAATTTTCTTTGCTCGAGCTGTAGGGCAGCAATTTGCTATTGTGAGTATTACCATGGGGTGGAAGCCACAAGGAGAATATTAAGAAAAGTTTGGTGAATTCCTTCTAAAAAATACCTTTACTGCCATTGATGCCACAAGCTTGAAGGCAGAATAGTGTGGCAGATAACAACATCAGCTTTGAAATAAGACTTGGGTTCTAATCCCAAACCTATTGCTTTCAGCTGCAGGATCTTATGCCAATTACTTCCCTGCTCTGAGCTTTAGTATATAAATCTTTAATGGAAGTAGTAATGGTGCCGTCCTCATGAAGCCATTATGAAGATTAAACAATATAATGCATTTAAAGCACCATGTTTGGCATATCATAAGCAGTCAATAAATGTTAATCACTGTTATTATTGTTTATGCCTTATTAAAGCTACACTGGCGTTACCCATTAGATTTTGTTCAGTGCATGAGGTAATTACACTGAACACTAAGGGATACCATATTACCTACTCACCAGTGGGATATCCAAAGGAATATCTATGAATAACTAGATGGTGAGCTCCCACATGGCAGTGATTGCAGGTATTTATCTTCACGGCCCCAATAACTTTGGGAGTTGTGTATAGTGGGCTCTCAGTAAATGTTGAATTAATTAATGAGTGATTTTTATGCTGATTTTAAAATAAAACTTTCTCCATTCATAAACATTATGCATATTTCTGTACATAATTCATAAATTAAAATACTATAATTTCAACAACAGTGGAACAACCATTGCTATCATCTGGATACATTTTCTCCCAAGGTGTACTCATGTACGCATGCATTTGTATGTATGCATGTATAATATTTATGGGGAATTATAATATTTTAATAAATACACACCTATTTAATTTTGTTCATGACATGTAAAAACTATTTTGGTTCATTTTATTAAGGGTACTTTAAAAATGTGACATGCACATTGCATTACAGCCTATAAAAGTGCACTGTATAGTTTATTTAACTATGGTCCTATTGTTAAAACTTTAGTGTATGTCAAAGCTAAGTCATCTTCAAATATAAGTTATGTTACCATATTCAGTGAGTCCTTAGCTTGGAGGTTGTAGACAATTTGAAAATCTAATTATTAAAAATCTCTGTATTATCTCCTTCCATAGAACAATTACAAGCGCATTATTTACATAAAATATTATTGGCAATTTCAGCAGGCTTGTAAACTTCATGAAATCCATCCATGGGCCTCTGTCTCACATTCTTCACATCAAAACCAGTGATATAGAATATGTCAGTATGAAGCAAAACAAGAAAGCGCAAAGCCTTTAACAATTTCGAAGAAGAATAATCTCTCAAATACTGCTGACTATAGAATACTTGACCATTTTCATGACATGGCCCAATCTCCATTACTTCTTGCATTTGAAATAATCCCACTGTTAAATTTCTTTACAACTTTTGTTGAATAATAGCTTATGTGATGTATCCTTATGATCCTTAGTGATGGAAAGTCTCACAGAGCTCCTCTCCTCACTGTGAGATCCTGCATCCTGGAGATGTGTGATATTCATGCATCTATGCCTGCTATCTCTCCCCTCCATTGATCCTGTCTTATGCACCATTTGTCCTGAAAAAATATACAACATGATTCAGCATTGGATAATACAGTTATTTAAGGGAAAGAGTTCATTTTACAATGCCAAAAGTAAATTCAAAACACTTAGCCTGTAATACGATGTAAAAACAGATGTACTCAGTACCTTAGGTCATGTCTATTGCAATCTCAGGGTGCATGATTATAACATGGCTTTGTGTAGTTCCAAACAAAGAGGATTATAAACTTTGTTATTTTATTTGTATGTTTTAATATGCAGTATGAAGCTGATTTGAATGCCAACTTGTACATTCTCTAAATAATTTTAATAGATTCTCAGAATACAGGAAAGTAGTGGTTTTTCGTTGTCATTTTTTTCCACCTGTTACTTCTGAAAATAGAACACTTCCCAACGTGAAAGCTAGGTGGGCAAAGTGCGCAATCCTGTGCTAGCAGCGCATACGCCTACGCACGTGCTCCTATGTCTGTGTCCATGTTTATGCCTCCTGAGTTTTGGAAGACTAAATTATCACCAAGTTCCAAAGCATAATGGAAGAAATGAAACAATTCTAAGTAATTCACATCAAGCTATTTGTTTCTTTCCCTCGTAGCTGCATCATCCTTCCCAAGGCTTCCGGTTTGGAACTGTTCGGGAAAGCAGCGCTGAAGATTACGTGCGGCAAAGTTTCCCAGAGATGCACGAGTACATGCGAAGGTACAATGTGCCGGCCACCCCCGACGGAGTACAATACCTGAAGTGAGTGTCAACCTCGTCTGTCCTAAGAGTTCTCACTGGAAGAGCAGTAACTCAGTTACTGTCGTATTCGTTGGTTTTTAAAATGACAAATATATCCACTATGTGCTTAGGAATATCTCATACTATGTGAGAGCCAAGAATCAATATAGAATAGCGAGCATTTAATTATGTGACTATATTAGTAGTTACCTGCATAGTGTCAAATTGGCAGTAGCTTTGATTAAAGAGCCAATGGGGTCATTAGCGTAGCAGATGGTGGGGGAAGCAAATGCTGGCTTGACATCACTTGAGAAAACAATAGTGCTGAAATGATGAAACACACGGGGAGTGTAGCCAGAGGATAAAGTGTCCCAAAGCAACCCTTTCCTTCACAGCGAATCCCTAAGCCCATGGAATGCCTCTGCTTGCCAGAGAGAAATGGAGTTTATCTTAGTGATTTCCTGTTAGGAAGGAAATAAGGTATAAGTCTGCAATTTCCATCCCTGCATCTTTCTCATCAGAATTTATGAGAAGCAATCAAAGGCAATCACATTGCCGTGGAAGATTATCAGAGCCTGTAATTCAGTGAAGCTGAATGCAAAGGAGGACAGCACAGTTATGGGTCTGCTTGTCTACACGGCCTGGGAAGAAGGAATGAATGCCACCCAATGACTGCCACTGCATGAAAGCAAGGTCTCTCTCCTGCCTGATGGCATCAGGATTATAACACACATCCAAATCCCCAGTTTCTTCAGTTGTGTAGTATCTAGAAACTAGCTTCTCCATGGTCAGTTATGATTATCTTCCCAATGGACAGCAGGGCCCACTGCCTCAGATGCTTTTTTAAGAAATAGAGGGAATAAAGGATTTCATGGGACATAAGCGCTTTGTGTTTCTTAAGATCTCTAGTAATAAGCCTCTTAAACAATTTTATTGACTTTTAACTAGAGCTTGGAGAGGAAACTGCATGCTTTTAGATTTGCAAAATTATATATGATGTTTAAGTACTAGGAAATGGCACTTTTAATTCTGCAAGAACATCAAAACATGAGAGTCCCTCTCTGATACACAGTTTAGAACTCCAGAGCCTCCCAGATCCTTTTCTATGTTCTTTGCTTCAGGCAAATGCATGGTTGAGAGAGAAAATAAGGCACCAGGGAGAGAGCGGTAGCTCCCAGCCAGACAGTAATGGTTGACATGCTGGGCTCTGCTGGCAGTATTATAAAAATTAGACGAACCACTGCTGCACTCCCCAGCAGTTCCACTCTATTTGATGCATTCATGTGTCCCAGTGACTGTACCTTACAAGGTCTTCTCATGCCCAGTATTGACCCACCCTAGCCTGCAGAGCAGCAGCCATTAGAAAATCAGGCACCAATGAAGATCAGGAAAGAATTAATTTTCCACGGTAATATGGCTAATAAGTGCTGGAGTCAGGACTAGAATCAGGTCTCTGGCACCAAACTGCTGCTTCAGGCTAGTTTGGAAACCACAAAGGAAGTGCAAGTCCTTGATGATCAATGAATAATCCCTTTCCAGCAGCATCCACACTGCTGTTAGCATCCGTGAGTCAGTTAGAAGTAGAAAATCTTCCCAGGTGTGGTGGTGCACCCCTGTAATTCCATCACTCAAGGGGCTGAGGCAGGAGGAGCACAAGCCTGAGGCCAGCCTGAGCTACATAGTGAGACACTGTCTCAAACAAACAGAAAAAATATGCCAGGCCCCAAACCTGCTCCATCAGAAACTGCATTTTTTGGGGGGGTTTTTTTTTTGGTTTTTTTTTTTTTTTTTTTTGGTTTTTCTCCGGTACCGGGAACCGAACTCATGACCTTGTGCTTTCCAGGCAGGCGCTTTTGCCGCTGAGCTAAATCCCCAGCCCCAGAAACTGCATTTTAACAAGCTCCCTAGGTGAGTCACTGATTGATGTGCAACAGGAAAATAGGCAGAGCATCAGAAATGCCTTCTTTCTTCTCTCTGGGCTTTCTCTCCACTTTTGTCCTAGTCACTACTGGCACTCTCGCAAATACCACTTGTCTTAGTTACTTTTCTCTCGTTGCTGAGACAAAATACCTGACCTCTAGAATTAAGGAAGGAAAAGTTTATTTAGCTCATAGTTTGTGCAGGTTTCAGTCCATACTTGGCTGGCTCCAAGGCAAAGTGGTGCATGGCAGAGGGCAACAGTTCATGGTGGCTGTGGAAAACAGCAAAAGCAGCAAGAGCAAAAAGGAGAGGAGCAGAGGCAAGCATCCTCTTTCCCTTCCTTACATTATATGCAAACTACCTGTCCCGGGGCAGGTGTAGCACTCACGCCCACAATTCATCATAACCTCTAGAAGCTTGCCCAATGACTGCATGAGGCCTCGGGGGGAACATTCAGACACAAACCATGCATAACACCACTCCAAACAACCACAGTCCTCATGTTACCCTTGGCATCTCAAAAACTCTGACCCACTGGGCACTACCCCTGAGATCTATATAAGACAGGTTTCTGCATGTGGACCTGTCCTTCCCCACCCACATGACAATCCCCCTGGGGTTAGACCTGCACTCTCCTGACAATAAATTAATCTCAATTGAAATGTTCATTTCTTTAGTATGACTGGTTTTTGTGGTATATGTGTATTTTTAAATGAATGCTCAAAAAAAAAAAAAAGACATTCTGGTTCTATAATGGGAGAAATAACTTGAGGCCCTGCCAACCACAACAGTGATTCAGCCAGTCTGGAAGCTACTTGTACCTGGATCAAACCCAGCCGCTTCTTTACCAGTGACTCAGGGCCCCAAGGGAGTCACTGAGCTGATTTCTTCCTGCCTTCTGATGCAACAGAAATCTGTCATAGCTAACTGCACTTTGCTGCTCAAAGCCAAGTATAGTGTTTAAACATACCAGTGACACTGGGCAGGAAATACTGGTTCAAAACACCAAACCGAACCTAAATTTTATTTCTATTCTCATATTGCTATCACAAATACATGTGAAATGCTGGTAAATGCTGTTGCTATGTAGCCCCTCTAAAGAACACTCTGTTACTATGGCAGTCAAACTTTGACTGGAGAAACACATTTCGGTTGGATTTTTATTTTTTTGTCATAATTCCCATTTAGATTTTGCATCATCAACTCTCGAAGACAATTCACATGCCCAACCCTTTTTGAAGTTTCCCACTGCTATGAATTGGGAAGATGTTTTTATATTGGTTAAAGTTGAGCAGTATCCCTGGCTAAAAAATTTTTTAAATGTCCCTTGAAAAAGGGATAGTATTTTGAATTGTCCATTTTATTTCCTGAAAGCACAGGAAAAGGAGGTAATTGTAACTCACACCAAAAAAGAGGTTGATCTAGTCACTATGCAGCTAGATGAGACCCAAACAAAGACATCCATTCAGAAAAGTTTTTGTTGCCCAATGATTCCTCTTCGTGTGTCTAGGGATGTCTTTCTCATTTCAGTTTTTGATGATTTTAACCATATTCTCCTCTAGGTTTAGAGGTCAATTCTCTGTTGCACTTTAACAGTCTTACTCCTGGTTCTAAAAGAAGAAGGACTTGGGCCAGACAGAATACAGAAAAGTTACTTTCTTTGCAAAACTATTTAAATATGGTCATTTTTAAAAGGGGGATTTAGATGAGGAGGAAGGGAGACCTGAGGCAAGGAAAGAGGATTTTTTTTAAAGGATCAAGCTGTATTATGTACATTTACCCACTCCCCAGGGTGATTTAAACTACTGCAAACATGTATAAATAATAAAAAAAAAAACCTGGAAAACTGTGGGAGTAGGAACAATTTTCTTAAATAAATGTAGGTCCTAAAGTTTTCTAAAAGGGATTTGAGGGAAACAAAAATGAAGAGGTCACCTAGCCAGCCCCTCTTTGAAGCTCTTCCTTCCTTTCTGCCTTTGCAGAGAGAGCTTAGCCTGTGCTCAGACATATTCTTCCTCTGGACCACTTCTGCATTCATGTCCCCAAAATGGGAAGACTTTCACGAAGGATACCAAAGGCATCTGATGGCAGCTTTAGCCCATTGCCAACTCACAGTAACAGCCCAGATATATATACCCTAAATTATTCTTGCCTAAACTACCACTACAGTGAAAGTCAAACCGACACTCTTGAGACAGATTGACCAATTAGGCCACTAAGATCTATTACATAAGGATTCCCTTCCACTTGCTGAATGTTAATCCATGGTTTTAAAGAACCTATGACTTCTTATTCTCCAAAAATGTAAAGATCTTATTCTAAGTATTTCCTCAGTATCTATACTCCTGAATAGGAAATAACACCTGATATCTGAAGACTATGAATATGATCATGATGTAAAGAGATAAAACTTCAAAATCTGATTAATGAGACTCCTTGGTTGCAACCTTTACAAGCAGTATAAACTTGTCCATGGTACTTTACCCCTCTGAGCCCCAGTTTCTCATTTGCTATGTCCCTGTCTTTATGAGTGATAAAAATCTATGGAGGAAATGAAACAAAGCTTAACAGAAAGTTACTGTGATAATATAAAAGGATTTAATCCTCTTTGTGTACTCTCCTATTCAATTCAGAGTTTCTCTAGCTTTGTCGTAGGATTAAAAGTTATGAAACACAGTAGCAGACAAAGCCGTGCGAAGAACATCACACCCTCTTATAAGTGCCCCTTTCCCTGGTCTCTGTTCCACAGGTCAGTGCAATGACAAGGAACCTGAGTCAGCAGCTAGCAAGCCGGTACTGCCCTTAGTATCCAGGTTCTGTCCCGTAAACAAAAGCCAACTGTCAGGCCTAGTGCTGCCTGTCAATTAATGAATCACTTTTGCTTTTTTCTCCTGTTCTTAAATATAGAAATGATCCAGAGAAACTAGACGCCTTCATCATGGACAAAGCCCTTCTGGATTATGAAGTATCAATAGATGCTGACTGCAAGCTTCTGACAGTGGGGAAGCCGTTTGCCATAGAAGGTATATATCAGTCACTCTTTGTTCACTTTTACTCAAGATGTGCTCGGTTTGCTAACCCAGCAAGTCACAAATGCCAAAGTCAGAGGCAAGGAGCTATTCATCTTCCCTTGTTTTCATTTTCAACTCATAAGCAACTTGGCTATTAAGCTGCTGAAGTTAAGAATTTTCCACCAACTCAACAAATATTTATTTATGCATTCATTAGGGAAAAAAATTCTTTACCAGATGATACTGGTTCAGCTATCTGGAAGTGGTAGCAACGAGGAGTCCAATTTTAGTTGAATCCATACTTTTTATTTTTGGTTCCTAGCTTTTTTGTTTGCTTGTTTTGTGGTGATGCAGGTCAAACCTATGGCTTATGCATGCTACACAGGGCTCTACCACTGAGCTGTATCCTCAGTGCCTAATCTCTATTTTCAAGGGCCAAGAGCCCCAACAAATTGAATTTTTCATTTTAGTTGAAAGAAGGCCCGAGGACATCAATTCACATTTTCATAATCATGCAATTAGATGGTAATACTGGGATTAAAATGCAAATCTCATGGTTCTTAAGTGTTTTCTACTAGTTGGAAAGTAAGTAGAAAAAAAAATAAAATTTCATTTCATGATTTAATGCCCTTAAGATCCTAAAATAACCTTGTTTGAACCCCTAGGTTTTCCCATCCTCACTGGCAGCAATTTTTGCTTCCAACTAGATCAACCCATCAATCAAACTTAAGTACAGAGAAGGACTGCTTTGTCAGTCACCTCTTCCATTGTGAGTGACAGTTGATACATGAGCTGATAGTTTGAGCCAGCAAATTTCACATCCCCTAATTCCCAGCTTCCTCTCGCTGACAATACATACTACCTCTCAAGATAACCATGCTCACTGCTCAGAAAACATTGGTTTCCGAGCAATCCCATGGGGGTGCCCAAGTCCTATTTCCAGAAATTAGTGCTATGTTGTATGTTACCTAGGGTATCAAGACTAATGTGATCCTAATTTCCTAACCTACTTGGTCTCTATCTCCCCTAAATGCATCAGCAAAATTTTTTTTCTTCAGTCAGTCTTTATTTTTTGCAATGAATGGGAAATTAACAGTTGGTACTATTTCTGCAAGCCTTCTCCTAGGAGAAATTAGTCTGCTCTCCAGGCACAATGACCCTTACCTGAAACAAGTATGGATCTCAGGAATGGAAATAATGGTAGTAGAGAGAAAGAGAGAGAAAGCAAAAGATAGAGAACTGAAAAGATATCAGTCTATCCTTCTTCTTTTTATGTAACAGTGGAAAATTTCCTATTTTGTGGGATTGAGGCAACAGAAGAGATGTCATATTTTATTTCTGTCCTAAATGCACTGGGTAATTGAGGTCCCTCCTACCATTAGCAGCTACTAACACTGAGTCATTTATCAAGATCATAAGAATGAAGGGCTCCATTTGCCACCTTTGTCTCCAGGGGACAACCCTATGTCATCAAAAGGCAGTGGTAAGATGGCTTGTTTGTCTCTGCTGGACCTCGGTGCCAGATGCCGCACAATTAACTCCCCACGGGTTTCCTGTTTGTGTTTCCATCTGTGCTGGTGAGACTTAGTGTCTTATAGTTCCTATCTTCTCTGGATACCACACTGTTCTCAAAGAAAATAAATACAAGATGGCACATGGAAGTACTCTCCCTAGAAGACAGCAGGAAGGCTGCAGATTTGAAGAGAGAAATCATTATCATCATTGTCAGTCTAGACTCAGAATGGATGGGGTGCAAATCAAAACCTCAGTTCCATAACTGTCCCCATGAATAAGTTCAAAACCTAACAAGTGAACTTGGAAAAGCACAGAGAGAGAATGGTTATACATTATGCATAGCAGAAGAGTCTAAAGACTTGATTGCTGATTTTATTAAAAAATCTTAATCTCAAAGACTTTTAGGAAATGTTTCCTAATAAATTTTATTTAATTTTTTAAATGAGTTTAGCACAAACATTATATGCTTTTCTTTGACAACATTGAGGTCTTTCGAACTTAAAAATGTGTGGTGCACACCTGTAATCACAGCACTTGGAAAGCTGAGGCAGGAGGGTAGTTGCGAGTTCGAGGCCAGCCTGGGCTACAAAGTGAGCTCAAGGCCAGCCTGATGTACATAGGGAGACCCTGTCTCAAAAAGACCAAAAGAAATGTGAGCTCTATCATTAAGTGAGACTGCATATGTATAAAAAAAAATCATCAAAGCAATTTGTAACTAATATTTGCCCATTTAACTTACAGGAATTTTGTTGCATATATTTAATCTATATCCCTTGATAGGACCTAGTGAAATGTCAGGCATATAACAAGTATCTAATAAATCATGTAATATTCATTTTGTAACTCATTAGTTTAAATTTGAGATAAGTCCTTAGCTCCCTTATTAAAGTGGTTAAGCAAAAGTATCCTGATAATTTGCATACACTTTTCCAAGTGTTTAAATGATTTCTAGAACATAGGTAGGAAAGAAATCAGGGTTCACTTATTCCTTCAACCTGGATTTGCTCATACGTCCATCCTGTGTAGTATTAGCACTCTAATTCACTGTGACTGCTGCTGTTCTCTGAATGTTTTCATCCTACCTGAAATTGCTATGCTGCACCCTAATCCCCAGTGTGATGGTACTAACAGGGGGCGCTTTAGGAGAGGTGAGTAGGTCATGAGGGCTCCACTTCTTGAAATGGGATTGGTGCTCTTATAACAGAGGTCTGAGCTCCCCAATCTGTCCAAAGCTAGAAGCTATCGTGAACCCAGAAGCAGGTTTTCACCAAACCCTGAATCAGCTGACACCTTCATCTTTGAATTTCCAATTTCCAGAACTATGAGAAATAAGTGTTTGTTGTTTACGAGGCACCTAGTCATTGTATTTTATTATAGCAAACTAAAAAACTAAAATATAAGTAATAAATACCCCTACCAGGTTCACCCTTCTGTGCTTATTTAGATTTAAAAAGTAAAGTAAGGCCAGGGAAAGACAGTGACTCCACACTGAATTTGAAATCCTTTCAGGAGCCTCTTTTCCACTAAAAAATACACAGCAGAACAGATAAAAATTATTAAAAATTCAAGAAGCTGGGTGTGATGGTGATGTGTGCAATCCCAGGACTCTGGAGAGTTGAAGGAGAATTGCAAGTTGAAGTCCTAATTGGCCAATTTGTTTGCTAACAATTATTTAATATAATGCTTAGAGCACTAGCTCCGGAGTTTGGGGGCTGGGATTAGAATTATCATCACTAATTGGAAAAATTTCTTAATTTCTTAATTTCCTCAGCTGAATAATGAGGATATGCATAGTACATCTATGATAAATTTTTCATGAGGACTAAGTGAAATGATACACGTAAAGCACATAGGAGCATGTCTGATACATAGGAAATACTTAAAAATTATTATTATTCAGTATGTTAAATTAATAAATTGGGGCCCATACACTACAAAATTCTCCCAGGGTAGCCTTCATAGATCTCAGATTCTCCCCAACACTTCTCTCCCCAGTGTGATTATTTTTCTAAAATAGAAAAATAGTCAACCCTACTGTAGTGGGACCATTACAGTATGTTCTCAGCCATTGTCCCAGAGTAGCTAAATCTGGTTTTCTTAGGTCTAACTGCAAAACTATTCTTTTTTTTTTCCCTGAAGCTTTTTTGACACCATCTGAGGTCTTATTTTCAAAACACCTATTTTCCAACCACATCTTAGGCAGATTCTCTTCGTCTATGAATGTCTAACTGTACATTTGCTAGCCAAAATATATTCCCATTACTCTTAGCTGAACAATGCTGATTTATCCATGGGGAAAAGATCAGGATTCTATTCTGAAAATTGTTCTCTTGGGCTATTAAGCTGAATCCAATTTCCAGAGAGCCTGATGCCTTCATCTTTAGGGTTGAAGGATTCCATTTTGCTTCATCCATCAGCCACAAAATAGTCAACCCTGTCTTTATTGCAAAGCCACATTTCTAATGATAATGAAAGCAACTCTGGCCAAGTTGAGTCAGCAATTTAAATGTAAGAATTCTTTGACCAATGAACACAAGGAAATTTGAAAAGCAACTGATAAAACAGAAGAGTGGAAATGATACTTTCAATTTTTACTATTCTGTTTCTCAGTAAAATGGATTTTTATGTATTTTAACAAGTACCTCTCCTCCATGCCACATAAATTTTTCCCATTTCTCCCCTCATTTCAATGTATGGTTTGCTTTAATTAACTAATAATTATGATTAATGTTAGAAACCATTAAAATCTTCATATCCAATACTTGTACTAAAATAGAAAGCTAAAAAGCTAATAATCTACTTCTGGCAGCCAATCGCAAATTAACCTAGACATGATGGAGTGGAGTGATTTAATATTTATTATTTTCTATGTAGCAATTTTTTATAAATGTCTCTGCCACTTCAATAAGCTTTTCCCTTAAGGGAATTTTCATACTTTTGTTATAGTATCAAAATTCTATCATTAGACTATGTAGGTTTATCATAAGTACTACTTTTCAGTTTTTAAACTTTCTTATCATGTATTTTTATCTCATCTATCAAAACATTACTAGAAAGAATCAAAGGTGCCTCTCTCTCCCTCTCATTTTGTAGCAATTTTTTATCCTCTGAACCTCTACAGAGTTTTACGTTGTCCTTTTTGTGTCTTCAGTGTTATATGTTACCTTTATTTAATTTATGCCTCACTCTTCTTTACTTCCAAGAAAAGATATTGACTTTATACCATGTTGTGTAGTTATCAGTGTATGTTGCAAGTCCCCTGTGCTACCCTAAGCTCCATATAGATAGGTTCTATGTTTAATCTAACTTAGTAACCTCTGTAACACTTGGCAGAGTGCATGGCACTAAATAAGCATTAAACACATTTGTGGAACAAATAAATAGATGAATAGGTATTAAAGGAATGTTTATCAAATAAAAATAAAAACATTTCTGACATTATTACACCAGTGTGCGTTGGAATTATTAGCTTTAAGAAGATTTTTAGGAGAACAATAGTAACTAATGAGGATTCTTGCTAGTGAATTTTCTGCAATAGATAATTATACACAAGTTAAGGCTGTTCTTACACAATATCTACACTACATACTAAAAAGTTTATAAACAAAATCTGCTTACGAACAGTATATATTTGGTTTTGCTGAAAACAAACCACGTGTTTTGTTTTTTTAATAAATTACCTGACTTGAGGGGATTACTTTGACATAGTTATAGTAATAAAGCCCATACTGAAGGGGAAGGAATAGATCAAGGATTCTCTTGCCTTGTAATGGGTGTGGTGGAAGCAGCATTGCTGTTAGTATCAGAGCACCTACTTTCAAATAATGGCTTTGCCAACTACTAACTGTGTGATATTGGCACTCATTCAGTCTTCCATTTCCATGAAATATTGCTCTGGCATGGGTTCACGTAGGGATACATGTAGAATAGCTTCTGGCATACAAGAGGGCTGTGAATGTCCTAATTTTGAAGTATTAGAATCCCAGAGTCATATCATAAAACTGTGTGTGCTACAGTTGAGTAAACAACTTCAGCCCAGTGAGTGATTTACAAAATAGGAGAAAGCATACAAAATGCTTAGGAGAGAGCAGTACTTGAATTATAGCAGACCCTCAATACATATTACAAATGCTTGTTGTTGCTGACAATTACTGATTCTGGGGGAAAGCACATCAATATCCAGAAATCTTGATCCAAATGAATTATTGTGACCACGAACCCACTCATACCAGATAGTTCCAAGACCTCCTATACTATCACTTTATATGACCCAGTTCTTCTCCCTCACGGCACCCTTTTCAGTGGTAACGAAATAATAATTAGTATGCAGGGGCTGGGGATTTAGCTCAGCGGCAAAAAGCGCCTGCCTGGCAAGCGCAAGGTCGTGAGTTCGGTTCCCGGTACCGGAGAAAAACCAAAAAAAAAAAAAAAAACAAACAAATAATTAGTATGCAGTGCACTGTTTAATCTGACTTCCCAGGCAGTGGTGTCAAACCTATGGTTAGTATTTCTCCAAAAGAATTAAAAACATCATACCACAGTGACATATGCACATCCATGTTTATAGCAGCACAGTTTGTAATAGCTAAACCTTGGAAACAATTGAAATGCCCATCAACTGATGAATAGATACAAAAGATGTGGGGTTCTTTTACACAATAGAATACTATTCTACCATAAAGAAGTACAAACTTGAGGCATTTATGGCTAAAAAGATACACCTTGAGACCATACTCTTAAGTGAAATAAATCAGACAAATATGTAAATATCACAGTGCCTGTCTGGTGTGAAAAGCTGAAAGTTTAAGTAAGAATAAAATGTATAATAGATATTGTGAAATTGGAAGAAACTGTTCAAAAGAAAAGGGGAACTAGAGAGGGGGAAGGAGGAAAAGAAGGAAAAGAAAAAATGAGGAAAGAAGAATAAACTGGAAACAAAGCTTTGGAAGGGAAGAGGGGTTGAAGGGAAGGGAGGAAAATAGGGGAAAAAGAAAAATCAAAATATATCATGAAGAGGTACAAATTCCCTATGATGAATGTGACCATCACATATATCTAAATGGTACCCATAAAATTAATGATAATTTCTCAAACTTATGGCACATGTGTCACAGCTGACTGTTTGTTATCACTGAAAGCTCTAAAAGAGCTGCCATAAAGCGTGGTCCATGACAACAGAGAACATCTCTACCTTTCTCTGGTTAAATCGTGACCATTTGGCACGATGCCTGTCTGCTTAATAAAACACTTGCTGGATAAATGAATGAGTGAATGAATGAAGAATGAACAAATGAAGCAATAGGTCCTTGAGTATGCTTACACATGTGCCAGTACTCTGCCTGATGCATAAATAAGTACTCAGTAAATGTTTGTGCAAATTGTCAATAGAATTCATTATAAGTTTATAGAGAAAATTGGCAACTTCCTTCCAAAATGTTTCCCATTATTTTAAAAATGTTATTTAACGATAACATCAGCAGAACAAAAAGCTACCCATCCAAAGTCTTTTATTATCAGCCTTGCCTTTCAAATCAAAACGAAGAGGCTCAAAACAGGCCCTCAAAATAGCTCTTTGAGTGGAAAATTCTAATCACGCTTTTGACATTGTCATCTTTTCCTTGACTCTCCATTGTTGAGGAACAAGCAAAATTATTAAGGGAAAAAACACACAGTTCTTTAAAACTGAGAAATGGTTTGGCATTATTTATTTCTATTCTTTAATTAGTTGTATATACATCATAAGCCTCATGTCTTAAAAAGGGATTTATGAATCTTCATTAAGAAAGGAACAAAAATAAGATCCTTGCAATTGAGTTGTCAGATAGAATAATTGTTGCAAATATTTGTTTCTATTCAATGTCTTAGGATCCTTGACAGCCTTTTAGTCTTTACTTGTGAAAAGGGAACTAACTGCATATTTAATTTATCTTCCTCAGACACCTTGAGGACAAAAAGAAGTATTTTTTGACTGTGCTATCCTATAGCTAAAAACAAGATGTAGTTAATTAGCCTCTTTCACATAGCTTATCAAAGGGATTAACAGTGTCACAACCATTTGGGAAGCAAATAAAGTCATAGAGTGCGAGGATGTTGAGTCTAAGCTAATTAATGCAAATGATAACAAATTATATGCATCTTAGTGCTCTTTCTTCTTTCCTTGCCTTGCCTCCTATGCCTTGCTTAATGTAAAATCTTGAGGCTTTAATTTATCATATCTTTTTGTATTTTTCTAAGTATAGTTTCATCACATGCATTTGTATCTCTAAAAACATGTTATGTTGCTTTCAATGTTTTTACATCTATACAGTATATTCTTGGCATACATAATCTTTTGGGACCAACTCATTGTTGAGTTTTTCACTAAAAAGCATACTGCTGATTCACCCATATCATTGCATCTAGTTTTAGTCCATATATTTTACATGATATAATATTCCTGTTATGTAAATACTCCATGCTTTCTTTACTACTTCCCTTGTAAAAGAACTTTTGTGTTGTTTCCAGTTTTTGCTATTATGAACAGTGGTCCTAGCAGCATCCTTAACCATACTTCTTGGTGTTATCTATGGGGCAGTTCTTTGGAAACATACTTAAGAACAGAATTGCTGGCCTTCAAGTATGTGAATGTTCATCTATACAAAATAATATGAACTGTTTTCTTGAATGGTATATCAATTTGCATTCCAGTAAGCAATGTATATGTGATCTTATTGATCCACATCTTCTCCAACACTTGATATTACCAGACTTTTTGTTTTACAACTGAAGTTACTTATTGTAAGTTCATAATGATATTTTAGTTTTCATGGTCTTATTTCATTATTCAAAAATAAACAAAATAAAATACATCAAAATATTAAAAGAGGATCATGTACTAACAATAAAGGAATGTCATAAACAGCATATTATGATTAATCTAATTTTGTGTACTTCAAATCCAAAGGATGATCTTAGGAGAGTTGTACAGAAATCCTGTCCCTGGTACAGATTGTTTCTAAAACATATCTTGAAAGGAATGGCAAAAGACTTGAAATAAATTGTCCATTACTACACTGTGCAGTGCATGTCCTCCTTCATAGACTCATCTGATTGTCTCAGAGATATGGCTGATCTATCTTTCCTAAGAATGTCTTTGAGTCCTCTGATGGAAAGATAATGAAAACTCACTATGCACTTGGTTTTTCTGTTTTTTGGTTTTTTTGGTACCACAAATCGAACTCGGGACCTTACCTGCTTGCCAGGCAGGCGCTTGTGCCGCCGAGCTATATCCCCAGCTTTACGCGCTTGTTATCAGACCTGAAGACGGTAGCACACAGGGATGGTGGAAACCTCTCAGGAACCATGTGAAAACTCATGTGAGATTTTATTTTCTCCTAGGATATGGCATTGGCCTCCCACCCAACTCTCCACTGACCTCCAATATATCCGAGCTGATCAGTCAATATAAATCACATGGGTTTATGGATGTGCTTCATGACAAGTGGTACAAGGTGGTTCCCTGTGGCAAGAGAAGTTTCGCTGTTACTGAGGTAAGGAAAGACTTCTGATAATATTGATCTTTTGTGTAGTGTTACCTTCATGAATATAAGGAAATGTTTTTGCCTGTTCCTTAGTCAGTGATCTAGGCCAGGGGTGGTGAACCTATGGCCCGCATGCCACAGAGGGCTGTTTATACCATTGAAAGCTCTACAACGTTCATCATCACTGACTAGGCTATTGCATTTACTAGGAACTTTGCTTGGTTACCACTCCTGTAGGAATTAGAAGTGAGATATGTTTGTCTTATATTTAAAAGCGATGCTATGTTGATGAGTAGATGTCTAAATTTATGCCTTTCCCCATACCTAGGCATCCACAAGTGCAGAAGAGATTCTGTTCTAAGTTATAGCAATAGCATGTGGGACTGACATTAACAGTGCGTGGTTTAGTCATTACTTGTTGGTTATGATGTGGACTTCAAAACATTCTTTAAAATCTAATCAAAGATTTGCTAATTTCCCACAGGTGATTATGAATAAATCCTTTATGGATTTAAAATTAAACACACCTTAACCAGTAATACTTAGATTCATAGTTTTTTTTTTTTTCCAAAACTGGAAATGGTAAATCCCCTTCCCAAATTTGAGAAGCTAATACCCATAGAAAATGTTATTTTCCCAAGGCACATAAATAGTCAGAAATCTACTTATTTTTGTTGAAGTACTCTGTCTTTACAGTGTAATAAAAAATAAGCCTATAAAAGGAGGCAGAATTGGGGTGATTAAAATTGGAGACTGAAAGTTGCAGCCAGAGCTATAGGCTCAAATATTAAAAAACAGAAGCCAATGAAGTAAGTACAAAGTCATCTAGATATTAAGAAAAAGTATCTAAAGCCAACAGTAATGGCTCTCAATACTATCTATTTGCCAACAATTCCCAAATATGCTTCTCAAAACAGGTCATTCTTCCAAACTCCAAGGCATGCATCCACTCTCCTGTTTGAAGTCCCAAATTTTACTTGTTCCAACCTGAAGCCCTCATCGTCCCTACTAAATCTGCTTTTCTTCTTGTCCTTCATATCTCAATAGTGACACTCATGCACTATCATCTAGTGACTCAGTTTAGAACCTGGCAGACGTGCTTGACCCACACCTCACCATCTGCATCTATCAACAAGCCTCTTTCTACAATATCCCCCTAACGGGTCTCTGTGTTCACTCCCGTGTTCCTACAGTTAGCTCTCTGTGTGACCGGTCGCTCTTGTATTGGAAGGCTGCAGCCACCTCCTGTGTTCATGGGAACAAAATCTAAACTGCTGGCTGGCCTACAGTGCCCAGTGGGACCCGCCCTGTCCATGTCCCATTCCCATTTTATGCTACTTTCTTCCTGATTCATTACAGATGCACCGTAATAGACATTATAATAAAGACATACTAGGAGCCTCCCTACCTTGGGGTCTTTACATGCTGTTGCCTCCTCCCCTTCAGATATCCCTCCACCTAGATTTGCTCAGCTAATCCCATCGCATTATAAAATCCTGGTTAAAAGCTTCTTCAGACCCTGATAGAAGCTGACTGATCTGAAGCATATCCTTCTTTAAGATCTCATATTATTTCTTAGCACTTGCACAAGATTTATAAATTTCACTCTTTTAAAAGTACATTTAATTGCTTTATGTCTAGTTTATTTCTTTTTTAGACTGTAAGAACTCTGGCACTCTCAATGCCTCTTGTACAGTAGGCACTCCATGAATAACTGTTGAATAAATGAATCACAGAAACCGAAAAACACACTGAGAACAAGTTGGGGATTAGAAGGTGTCAGTATCAAGCAGGAGTGGTGTTGGTGCTGCAGTGGGGTAAATAGTGCCCCCAAAGTCTTGTCTGTGCAGGACTTTAAAATGTGACCTTCTTTGGAAATAGAGTCTTTGAAAGTGCAGTAAATTAAGATGAGAGCATACTGATGATTTCTATATAAGAAGACCTTATGAGGCCAGTCATGGTGGTGCACACCTGTAATCCCAGCACTCGGCAGGCTGAAGTATGAGGAGTGCCACAAGTTTAAGACCAGCGTGGGCTGCATTGTGAGTTCAAGGCCAGCCTGAACTGCATAGTTAGACCCTGTCTCAAAAAAAAAAAAAAGACCTTATGTTTGGACACACAGAGAAGAAGACCAAGGGACAACAGAGGCAGAGACTGGAATATGCACCCACAAGCCAAGGAATGCTAAGGGCTGCTGGCAATCACAAAGAGCTAGGAGAGAAGCATGAAATAGATTTGTCCCTCAGGGCCTCTGGAAGGAGTCCTCCCTGCTGGCAACTGGATTTCAGACTCCTGACCTCCTGCACTGTCAGAGAATAAATTTCTGTTGGTTTAAATCATCGAATTTGTGATAATTTTTACAACAGCCCTGGGTAATTAATACAAGTATATGATAGACTAGATAGACAATGATAGATAAATAGATACATAGATACATAGATATACAGACAGATGATGATAGATAGATAGATAGATAGATAGATAGGTAGATAGATAGATAGATAGATAGGCGCTGAGACAAGCCAGTCAACACCCTTGAAATTAAGTTACCTATGATCTTCCTAGCTTCCATGAACAAAGAGAAATAAAAGATGGGTTAAAAAGTTTTTCAATCAGGAAAAAAAGAAATTATTCTATCTTCAATTATAAATTCTAAATTCATTCTTATTTTGAAAAATGACACTGAATAACAGAGTTAGCAATGTTTGCAAAATGAAAAAGAAATATTCCTGCTCTGGCTAATTCTTATGTTGTTTTTCATGAATGTTGAGGGAGGCTGCTATTTATGAATCAGTGAAAACCCCAGGGAGGCGCTGCACACACAATTCATATCCTGTGCTGTTTTGCAAGCTACACAACCTGCTGCAGAAAACAGACCACTTAGAAAGACAGGATGTGCTCATCCAGTGACGTTTATTGAGGACTCACGATGTGTCAGACATTGTTAATGATATTTTGAATGTGTCACTAAACAAGACACAAAACTGCCTGCTCTGGAGGAGTTTTTAGTTTTATCAGAAGACAATATACAATAAACATAAGTAAACTAGCTACATTCCAGGGTAGAAGCAGTTTATTCTGGTGGTAACAGCACAGAGGAAGGCCTTACTAAGATGAGTGTGGATAAAAGATTGGAAGGAAGCAAAGAAAGTATGGACATAGGTAACAAGCATGTTCTGTTTCCTACCCTTGAAAAAACCTACTAAGGACATTAACTCATTAGTTCTCACGACAGCAGCGTAAGGCGGGCACTGCTAGCTTTCTTTGGAGAAATACACATGGCCTTTCCTAAAAGAAATAAAGTTGAGTTTACACCAGTCAGTTTACGCAGCCAAGAAAGTGAATGAAGCAGTTGTTTAAAATGAGCAAAGGAACAGTCACTTGATGTTTTTTACCTTCTGTAATGTCCATAACAGACTCAAGTCAAGATCTCTCACTGATTCAAATCTGCTCCCAATCATGTCCTCAAAGCCATTAAAATGAATGATTTTCACCTCCCTGGTCCATGTCTCTAGACTATTACTATTTCAGAGGATTATGAGGTGCAGGTGTCAGGGGGAGAGACTATCTAACTCCCAGACCGAGCCACTGTGAGCACAGGGTTCTGCAGTCTCAGAGCCCAACTCTACTCAGGGAAGAAAGGAACCCATGTTTAGAGACACCCTAGCTCAACAACTAACAAAAATCTATTACGTGTTTATTCCAATGTGAAAGTATCTAAGCAATGCTGAAACTGTTAGGACTTTGGTAACTCTTGCAGATGGACTGAAATGTCTTTTGCATAAAGGGATGTATATGAGTCTTTGCGGGGCCAGGGGTGGAATGTTATGGTTTGTGCCCCCAAAGCCTCATGCAGTCATGGAGCAGGATTCTAGAGTTTATGATTGATTCATGGTCTAATGTTGGAATTATGGATGTGAGTGCTACAGCCGCCCTGGGGTGGATAGTTTGCATACCGTGTAAGGGAGGGAAAGAGGCTGCATGCCACTGCTCCTCCCCTTGTGCTCTTGTTGCTTTTCTGTCTTCCGCCACCATGAACGGTTGCCCTGTGCCATGTACTTCTCTGCCTTGGAGCCAGCCAAGTATGGACTGAAACCTCCACAGACTGTGAGCTAAATAAACCTTTCCTTCCTTGAAAAAAAAGAGTATCTAACACAAAGTGTGGTAAATTTGAAGTTGTATATTTCTGGATTTGAATTTTGGCTCTACCAATTAACAACTGAAGGACTTAGAGCTCTTGAGTCTGAGTTTCTTCTTCTGTAAATGAGTCTGATAAAGCGTGCTTTGCCCTTTTCTTCCAAGATTAAGAGATCATTTACAGGAACACTTAGAAAGCTGATGCAGTAAATAGTAAATAATAGGAGCACTGATTCTCCCTCTCCTTCCATCCAGAAGAAACCCCCTATGATTCATAAATGTGCTCAAGCATCTTCCTGTGTTTCTTTTATAAGAAAGGAAATATTCTCAGATGATTTCCATCATATTTCTTCACATTTTATTGGCCAAGATTGCCTTAATCTGTCCATATGTAAACCAGTCACTTGTGAGGACTTGGGATCCCCTTGGTGGACTACGCCAGTCAATACTCTCCCTCTAGAACTGGTGATGGAGCAACCTGCTTTGAAACACATGATTTTTAACAAGTCAGATTTGAGGAAAAGGAGTTGGGAATTGCCTGATATAGTCATCTGGAAGTGTTGGCTTAGAGATTGCTACCATATCAAGTTGTGGTTATTAAGACAACCCTGCAGAATTTGAAAGGAAGAAAGTAGAAATGAGAAGGAGTAAAGATGTGTCTCCTAAGACAGAACTTCAGAGACAGAAGTAAAAGAGGGTTCACATGTTACTCTGTGTCTGTAAATACTAGAGGGACCCTCCTACATCCAGTTTCAGGAAATGTTATTAACACACATGGATCAGTTCTTTCCCAAGTATGGTACACTGCACTTCGGTATATCCTGCTGTATGCAATGAGAAACTGTTTGATGATGCTTGCCTGTATGCATTTG